AAAGACACACCCAGTTGTAGAAAATGTGCGCGCACACACACACACACACACACTAGCATGAAAGAAGGCATTGGATGAATCCTTTATCTTTAAGAGTAGAAGGACATGCATGAGGGACCCTATCTCATGCATGCATATGGGTATGCACAAGGTGAACAATGATACGCAGCCAGAAGGAAACACACGTTATCGGCCAGAGCAACTGTTGCTAAGAGCTGATTAGAGAATAAACAGTGAAAAAAGGCAATGTTTTTCCCCCCCCCCAAAAAGAAGAAAAAAATCAACATTAGTAGGGAAGCGACAAACTTTAAACTAGAGATGGATTGTTAAATAAATCAAAGACTGAAACATCATATTAATGATGCCGCGTGTGAAACTGGATAGCCGCTCACAGTCAAGTGCTACTTCGGCCACTCCAAAGTGTAAATAATCAGAGAGACAAAACCAAAGTTTGCACCACGCCTTAGTAAAGACGTGGTTTTGTTTAACGCAGCTGGGATACAAGTTCTAGGAAGGGCGGCATGAAAAATAAAATGCCTGCATCTCAGAGAGAAAAGAAACGCCATAATCTACAACCTTTTTCTTTTTCTCTACTCTAAAAATTTGAGTGGTTTTCTATTTTCCCCAAATTGTGATTTGGAGGTCGTTGTTGCAAAGCAGGCAAGCTGTTCCCCAGATGAGCTCCCTCCTCTCTTTACTACCCCATCCACAACCACCACTATCTGTGGTGTATCTCTCCATCTCCATGCTAATGCCCTGTAATGATCTGAGGCACGTTGGGATGAAAAAAAAAGGAGAGAAACTTGTTCCCAGTGCAGCTTTGTAGTGCTTTCTGTTGTTGTTGCCATAGTAACACAGACCAGGAACTCAAACTGACACAGAAATGCTTATTTGCATGGCAGGACAAGAAGATCATATTCTTCTTAGACTTGGAATGGGTATCACTTACTTATGCTACATATGAATAATCAGATCCATTAAAAATGCACAACCAGCAGTTGCATCAACTTATTAAGAAAAAATATATAAATTTGTGGATTTTTTAAATATTTCTTTTTATATAGGCAAAGATTGTTAATAATAAATCTATGTTCACACAGTCTGCATGGATCATTGTGCATGCATTATACAGATGCATGTATCGCAGAGTATCTGAAGGAGGAGGCTTCTTGAGCAGTTCTATTTGTTTAATTTTATCATTCATCCTCCAATCTTCACACACGCACACACTCACACACAAACCTGCGTGCGGTCTTGCTTTGACTTTGAAGTTCCGCTGGATCGCCTTTAAAGGCCGTCAGTGTTGCCACGGCAGCAGGCAGGTAGCAGACATCAGGCTGCTCAGTGTGTTCGAGAAAGTGTGTGCGTGTTTGTGTGTGTGTGTGTGTGTGTATGCAGCCTGAGTATTTAATTAGCTAAGAGCCCAACGGGCCACTTGCCGTTTTCAGTGTTTAAACGAGGGAATGACTGGCTCGTTACTGATACTAACAACAAGGATAATTTATGCACAAACGGATCCGTCTGCTGTGTTTAAGGACGTTCTCTGTAGATGGGCTGACAATGACAAGCAAACAATAAGAAAACACAGCCATCAGTGTCCCCTTATGATATTTACACCGATATTTACTAAATGCTACAAAAATGTGTTTTCTTGTTGCATCGTGGTGACTGAAAGAAAGGAAGAGGAGTAATAACCATACAATCTTTTCCTCAAACAGCCACAGTGTTATTGTTAGTGTTTGTCTAAGACTACTTTGACCATAGAAGAAGAACCCTGGAAGACCTTTGGGTTTCTATTATGCTACAACAAACAGCTAAAAACCACTCGGGGTGAGTGATGGCACTGTGACGAGCTTGGGCCATGTATGGCTGGAACTGGAGCTACAGTTGCTGAATAGGCCGAGCCGGCGCTCTGTTTAATTGTGCAGAACATGATCTAGTCTTGCCATAGAAACTATAATCTGCTTGTGGCCAAGTAATATGGCCCTGTATGGGATTAATTACCCAGTGGAATGTACTGACTGGCTCGCTGGTTGGTTTGCTGATTGTCTGCAGTCTGCTGAAGTCGAGCATTTCAACATATGCAGCTCTGGATAGAAGAGAGTGTTGAAGCTAAAGGAGTTAGTGTTGGATGTGGCATTTAGAGTAGATTACATGTTATTTTTTATCCATTCCTTTAATAATATTTTCCTCTATAGTAGGCATTCTGAAACATTGTAGCTACAAGTTTAATTAACAACACTATTTAGGTGTGGCTACATTCCATTTAGGTAAAGCTGTTTCATTGCCCTGCATTTGTGCACCACAATAATTTCTTGAACCATGCCATGTACGTGAGCAATCATTATTGGAAACAGTTAAATCTGCACTTTCAACGCTCAACACAACTGCCTCGAAGCAGGAGCTGCAGCATTATATCATGCTGAAAACATAGTGCATGTGTTAGCAAAGCGTTGTGTATTTAACAGTCAGACAGGCCCAAAGAAACATTGACATTCCTCCCCTTCAGACATCCTTCGCCACCATTCGATTGCGTGTCCTTAAAAGTTGTCACAGCAGTTGTCTGAATGTGTTGCAGACACATTAATGAAATGCACATGCTTAAGACTCCATATGTCTTTGAGCTTCTTTGTGCAGCTCACTGAAAACTCGATTGTTGTGGACCACCGGGCTCCACAATGTTTGTATATGTGCCTTAGACCAAACATACCAACAACATAGAATTATTAATGTTATTAATATGTCTCATCTTATCCTTCATTGAATCCTCATCCTTGCTGGATGTCGTCACTTAGTCAAACGTTTTGGCACTTTTCCACAGATGCTGGAGAATATGGCTCATCTTGGACATCTTTTTAATACTGTTCGCCTTTCATACTTCTATGTAAACTACTTCTTTTTTTTTTTTTAAACTTGAGCCACAGTTAGTTTTAGTTTTTACTTTTCTTTCTTAACCACTTTTAATCCAGAGGAAGCACTTAATCCAATGCCTATTTTGTGTCTGCACTCATTTTTTGAACATTTCTAAAGAGATATTAGTGACTGAGGACCAGTCTGGATGGCAGAAAGGGTTGAGGGCGCACATACACATCGGT